TTGCGGCCTTTGTCCGTAGAACGGGATTGGTTAACCAAGCGTTTGCAAGCTAGATCATGTTAATCACACTGTAGATTCCACGAATAGAGAGTTTAGATGTGAAGTATCTGTTTGTATCCTCGCGTATACGGAAGGACTAGTTGGGTGCTTGAAGTAGGCAGACATTTTTCCTCCTCCGTGTACGCATAAGTGGGGAGTATCTATCACAGCTCTCCTACCTCGATCATCCATCGCCTGGGAATGGTTTCTAACATAAGGTGAATCATTCAATAACCGGTGACCATAAGATTTTAATAAGTGAATCAGAGGTCAAAGGTAGCTGACGAGCAAGTTCGCTATTGTATGAATACTTAAACTTTAATTACACATCTGAGACTCCGACTGACACAACAAACGAACACTGTCTTGTTGGGCTCACCTTGGCCTGGGGGACGCGCGAGGGTCTTTTCGTCACCCACTCTTGTTTTGCCTACGGGAAAAATCACCCATCGAGATCCATGGCGGTCCGCGTATTCAAACTATATACTCCAATCCCCAGTCCCAAACAAACTCGAGGGGCTGGGTAACTCCGATGGGAGGGGAGGAGTGCCTACGTGGTCCACGCTCCGCGTTAGCGGCTGCTCAGACTCCACTACGCCATGGTCGGTGCTTTCCTACGACCGAACCTGGATTTTCCACGCAACATCCTTTCCTGAGTTTTCCCAGCGGAGCGCGCCTAAGCGTATCGATTCCCTCTACGGAGGTGCCCCGAACGCCTAGTCCGAGCTGCAAGCACTTAGTACTTGTCCTCACCGAGCAGGCCTGCGTCTCGTATATCTTGCGGTTCTGTAGATCGACGAAACTTCCAACTGCTCGGGGTTTCCACCCTTGTCGCCCGAATCTGTGTGGCCAACTTGGTCCCTGTATTCATCTGATTTTCCCACGTTTGGTACACGGTTCGGTCAACGAGCCACTAGGCACACCAGATTATCCATTCGAGCTTGTCTCCTACAGATAGCAGCTCCGCTCTTTTCATGGGAGGCTTCTCACCGCGAGTGCTTATTCTCCTGCGGAGGTCTCTTTCACGTGGCGGCGTCCAGGCTCCCGGCCCGGGCGCAGCCCCCACTCCAGCTAACACCGGATTTGACTTCTTTTCAGTATCTAGGTGCATGTTAGTTCTTCTGGACTCGTCCTTTGTTGCTTCGCGCTTGGCCGAGGTAGTCCACTCCGCGCCTATCGCCTGTGTATTTAAATTTCCACTACCTTGAAGTTGTTCGTTTGCTCAAGCATATTCCCTGTGTGGTCCATTCCGGGCCGCACCTCCCTTCTTCTCCGAGTTCACGAATATGTCCCGCGCTGTCTATCGGTCCGGCTTTTTTTCCTTCTCCACTCACGTGTGCGTCCTTTTTCTCCCCGCCCTAGACTAAACAGATAACCTGCAAGACTCAGCGAGAAATTGTTGCAAGAACCACTGTCTTTTTTGGCTCCCTTTGTAACTGTCGGTGTGAGATCAGTCTCTCTTGCTCTCTCCATTTGTTACTTTGATGTATTGGCAAGTCGATCCGGCTAGTGTTCGTTTTCGAGCTTTTCCTTCGGGTCAACGTCCTGTATTGTTTCAGCCTGCCCACTCTTTACCTTGACTTAGGGCCAGGATTTAGGCCCTAGAGGACTGCCTTTTTTTTACTGGCTAGCCGTCGGATCAGTTCTTGCTTTTTTCCAGTTCGTCTCATCGGCTCCTCGTTATTGTAAATGCATTGAATGCTCAATAAAAAAACCGGAGGATTTGCCCAACTCTTTCTGTCCTCATTTCCCGGGGCGACCACTCGGCACTCCGCTCATGTGTCTACGCGCCCACGCCCCTCCTGTATTCACTAATGGATCTTCGCTTCCCTCCGCAACCGGTGCAATTGTAAGGACGTGCTTTTCGGGTCACACAACCCCCGTAGGCTTTCTGAGAGGTAGAGAGGCGCTCCGTCACAGTTGTCTACATGGTTCTTGGAGTTCAGTGTATTAAAACAAGCACCGGGTCTATCGCCGCTTTTGCGTCCACAATTCCTGCGACGGTCTCGCCCCTTGGGCTCTGGGTGCTCTACCGGATACTCTTTTCCGGCCTCTTCGCGGTCCCGGTTTTTTCTTCTTTTCTGGTCGACGGGGCCGGGTGGCGCTGCCTTTCATGCTTCGGCTTTTTGGCCCGTTGTGCCTGCTATTTATGTTATCGGCGCGGTTGCCCAATCCCGAGAGGATATGCTCCCTAACACACGCGGGACCGTCTACTACCTGTTCCGCCGCCCCTATCGGGACGAATCTGGCGGAGACTAATTGGATTGAATTGGTGCCATTAAATGAACCGGATATAACGGGGGAATAAAGGCACCCGGAAGGAATTCTTATCCAGGAGGACTCATAGGCAGTATGGCAGAAACAGGGCCATTTATTTAGCATCTTAAATAACATCCTTGCCTGTCAAGGGGGGAACAATCCAGGGGGGAGGCAGCCACGCAGTGTCTGTTACAGGAGGATTAGCGGCTTTGCTGGTCCTAAAATTTTGGTTTTAATGGGTGTATGATGGAGTAGTCTCTAGGTGCACCTTGTAGTATAGCATATCGGTGGATGGACGGACAGCATGGAATAACAATACTTACAACTCATAATGTTATGGTTGAAATAAGAAGTGAATGCTCCAATAACGAGAGTGGTTCAATCGAGATCATCTACCCGATGAGAATAGCTACGGTCACGCCCGGAAGGAACGCCCTCGGCTGGGGTGGCATTACAAGTAGTTGGGGCTGTCGCTCGACGGGACACTTTTTCTAACTTATATCTAAGGCTTTTGAGGCGGGCGAGAGCGGTTATAGCGTGGGCCGGGATACAGAATGCAGAGAGTTACGCGTGCGGTCTTGCAGCTCGCTGGCAGCGCCTCACTGTACCTACCCGCGCACGCTCCAGACGGGACGACGCAGACTGACATTCTTGATGGCGCGCGGAGTGCGGACAGGCTCAGCGCTTACAGTTTGCGCGCACGCATCAGCCAGATACTGCATGTCTGCGAACGTGGCGCGCGCGCACCGACTCTACTCAGCGCGCTAGCGGCAGGTATCTCTTGAGCGCATCTCGGAGTGCCGCCCTCCGAGGTACCGCCTCGTCCCAATCGCCCGTCTCAGTAATACCCGGATCGTCAGACGTGAGGCGCAGAGAGGGACGCACCGAGCGGGTGTTTCAGGCGGCCGGTCGCCGTCCACAGGCGCGCGCCAAGACCAGTGCTCGGATCGTCGAGCGTCTCCCGCCGCCCGGTGTCTATCTAAGCGGTCGCGGCGCCGCCATGAGGCCAGGTGGCTGGGGGCGTTCCTTAAGGGGTCCGGCACGGCGGAATTTGGGCCGGCGGTGGAGGCGCCCACGCAAGCGGCGGTGTGTCGGTGGAGAGGTTTCGTTTCGCGCGACGGAACGGCTTTAAGGCGGCAGCGGGCCGGCGGGTGGTGCCCGCTTGTGGTCGAGCTATCGGTCGATGGTCTGCGACGAGGTGGTCCATGACGGCGCACTGAACCGTCGGTGCTCGGGGACTTGAGCGGCGAGTTTGGGCTTGCGGTGTAGTCCCGCCTGGAGGAAAGAAGGACGTGGTGGAGGTACGGTGATAGCGGTGGAAGCCCGTGCGCCGCGGCGCGCGAGAAATTGGTCCGGTGTTCGTGTCGTGGGCGCGGCGGTCGTCGACCGCGCCCCGCATCGTGCGAGTTGCGTTCGAGGTCGCGTCCGCGTGGCTCCGCACGTGTCCTTATGCGCAGGCGGGCCCGCGGGTACAGGGGCGGTGGGGGCCGCGGGCCGCCGGGGCCGCCTTCTTCGACTGCTGCTACCGACCTCCTGGTCCGCCAGTTTCCTGTCCACTGCGAAGCAAGGAGAAAAAACACGCCATCAATTAAGACACTCGTTTATTGTTAATTGCAACCTTAAAAAAATCAGATACAGCCACTAGCCAAAATTCATAGCTTAACAAGGAACAACATAAACAAAAAGTGAGGTAATAAATCCGTACAGTGTATTATATATTATATTAATTATTTATTATTAATTTTATTATTTATTATTATTGTTTATATTGTTATTAATTTATTATTATTATTATTATTATTATAACCATGATTGCTAATGATGGGAAAATGTATGAATTCAAACTGGGTCAAATAACATAATTTTCAAATACGAATTAAAATAAACATTTCAATTATGAAGCCCCCCGCCTATCTACAGACGTGGTTGAGGCTGAATTTGAAAGTTCTTTTGTTTTGTCCAGTTACATTCTCAGATAATTGACGATTTAATCAATGCTAATAAGATGGGATGCTACTACGTAACTCAAAGATAAAAATGTACTATTTTAAATGTTTGAGGTAGTGAATAGTCTTACGGTTAATGGAAAAATGGCAATTTTATGACAACCTTTTGTAAGACCTGAAACTATCATAAATGAAAGACCTCAGATCTCAGATTATTATTGGAGTTTTATTTATTTTTTGGACCATATATATCGTCTTATTTTGCTCTTTGGAGCATACTCTGTGTGCAAATGTACATTTCGTTTCATTTTTCTACATGATTTTCGTTACGAAAGGCTAATCCGTATTCGTATAAGGTTTATATAGCATTCTAGGTTGTAAAAAATATTATGAAATCAGAATCGAGGGTGTCGACGTATCTAGAATCTAAATGAGTTCGTAAAGAGATTTTAGATAGAAAAGACTGTGCGATATGAATCTCTTTCAAGAATATTAGCGGAGCCAGAGCAAGGGAAAAGCTAGATATCGCTTGGCAAGATATAGAGTGGCATCCTTGGACCAACAACTTGCACAAATAATGGAGATATTTAGTTAATGTTCTAGATTTGCAAAACAGTAACTTTCTGTCTTGCTGTGGTATTGCACTGACACAATTGTATAGATTAAAAAAATTAATGTTTGCAAGACACGATATTTCTTAACGTCTTTAAACTTTATTCGTTTCGCATAGAATCTTCACTACATTGTATTATTAACGTTTGAGTTCCCGTCCAAACATGATTTTTCTGGAACATGTTATTTACTTGCATTTTGATAATACAGATGGGAAATACCTCTTACTACTTCAATTCAGTAAGTATTTAACAATAACGATTCAGAAGACTGTTAAAACGATTGTTAAGAGCCCAGCAAATCCTTTCTATTGCTAAAATTTGATAGCTTCGGTATATATACTATAGATATTCAAAATGTGTTTTCGCCACTGAAAATGTTGAAAAAGATCAAGGTCAATAATCAATCCTTAAATTGCAAAATTTACAGTCATCCTACACTGGGGCACATCCGAACGGTACTTTAATAGATATAAATAGCGAAAACAATGTGTATATTAGTGCATAACTTCACACTCAGCCAATATACAAGACCAAGCGCGATTTCCCTTGTTACTGTATCACGTTTCCAACCGTGGTACTACATGGAATTCATAAGCAAATCTAGAAACAATTGAAATCCGATGGCTCAATTTCTGACACGATATCGAGGTAACACTAAAAATCCGAATTACAAGCGGGCACCGTCCACAGCACACACACGTAGTACGCGTGGTCGCGTAAATTATATTTGTTCGTGGTTGTCAGGGGAATGTTGCATTGAAAGTAGGTGTGCTAACGTTTCCACCGCACTTTCGAAATAGAAATCTCATTCACACTGCACATCCCCGTCTGACGTATAGACAATCCCCCTGAAATGAAAATCCATAAAATCGCTACTTATTAGGAAAGTCAAGAAAATATAATGCTTTGTGAAGTGAATAAAATAAAACAAGATCATAAAGATGGTTCACAAGATACAAAGTACATAGAGTCAACATTTTGGCTGCCAAACAAACGGTTCCACTCCGAAAGAAACATTTTTCCTCCAAAATGTCAGTTTTAGAGATGTGACACTTTTCTTCCGCTGCGTCGATATTACATAATATTCCAGATGCAACACATCGTGTAGCATACAGACTTTTAAATTACCGGAAAGATGCACGATTGCCATCCACGCGATTCTTGAGAATATTTTGATGGAGGTTGTATATTCCCAATATTTTGTCTCATTTTTAATAATTCAGTGATGTGTGAAAATTGACTTACTAGAAGGGATACAGCGATTTTCATTCAATACACATCATTATAACTCACAACTAATGAAATATGTTTATCAGTTGTCAACATCACATGATGCAATATAATTAAAATCGCCAAATGGAAAGTTATATCTTTTCTTCTGGATAACTGTTATTGTGCATTAAGAGGTACTGAAAATTAAAATAACAATTACTATTATTTTATTTGACGAATAAAAATAATAACTTTTTACTATATATTCCAAAAGGCTAATTCGTACATCAGAAGAACTACCAAGAAAAGTTCTTCTGATTCGTTTATTCTATCTACTTCAAGGTTTTCGTTCAGTATTCTCTAATTTGAGATGACCCGTATTTGCTTCTGGACTGTAAATGTAGTAATCGTCTCTCCCCATGTCTCGTAAGTTTTTACGTCATTCTTACGTTCATCCCTCCCCGCGAGCCACTATGTTCACAGAGAGAAAATATTAAACTTGTGTCAACAATAAGTTATCAGCGGTTTCTTCAACCGAATGTTCTAATATCCAAACTTCTCATTCCTCCATTTGGTACCTCTCAAGCAACATCGCTGGAGGGTGGGGGATTCTGATTCGTTCTGATTCTTTAATTAAGCAGGCGCCGAATCACGAGACCTTCGATTGCGTTTTTAATTGCAGGGGCGGCGGGATCGCTCGTCTACCTCCCGCTCTTCGCCCACTCCCACTTCCGCGTCTCATATCGTCGCCCCCGCTTCCGTCGCGTCGTGCTAGCCACGCCCATCCCCGCCGATGGGGCTCACGGCTGCAACTCTTCGTTGACACTCACGTCTCTTGTGTTAAGAACGTCGGTGGCGATTCGAAAGTGAGCGAACGAGTGAGAAAGTTGTGTTTCTCAGTTCGTCAACGACTTTCATCAGTTTCGTAAGTGTAGTTCATGTGATTGCCGGAATGTGGCGGTGTTCCTCCTTCGTTGTACCTTGAGATACAGCGTACACCTAAACCTCCGATAGAGAGTTTCCTCCTGTAGGTACCTCCGCCAGCAGGATGACCCCCCATTCGAGACAAGGTCTCGGGTTTCACATGTGTGATAGTATTGTGGTTATAAATGTAAGTTTCTCTGTGTATATGTGTGTAAAGTGAGAGGAAGGGGCAAGAAAGAAGAAGGAAATATTACGCGCTGTCCGAGGCCTGTTTGTTAGGGTACTGCTCCGGCATTTACCTGGTGTTGATCGGAGAAACCACAGAGGTCTAGCGCTCAGAACTGCTAAATAAAACACTTTAAATGTTCTTAAGATTGTGATATTTATTTT